CCAGTACAAAGCTTCGCGGATGATAGTACCCTCCATACCGCCTTCTCTTCCAGGGCTCCAATACCAGTCAGGCAAATCAGAAACGAACGGGAGAGAAATGTTGACAACATAAATATGGACTTGGCAACAATTCTCGAACGAGGATCCAATAACTTGATAGATTCCATTGCAAACAAAACACAAGGATGCCTCTTCTCTAGAAAAGCCGATCTAAACTGTGCCCAACATAAGCATGTCAGGAGTAATCATAACTTTGAAGACATCCATTCCGATGCTTGGTGAAACTATCAGCAATAACCTCTCTTAGGAAAATCACGTGAGATCAATTCCTAAAAGTGCATTCCGAGAACTTGATTTTCCGTTTCGGGCCAGGAGCTTTACCACTTCCAGTCAACTGCTTATGATCTATGAGGCACAGATCCAACCTGTTCTGGAATACTGTTCCCATATCTGGAGTGCAGCACCCAAACATACCCTGAAACTGTTGGATTCTGTCCAAAAAAGGGCAATTCGTCTCGTTCATGATGCCTCGCTCCCAAACTCACTCATTTCTCTGGAACACCGTAGAAAAGTTGGCGATCTAGCTCTATTTAAGAGATATTTTCATGAACGATGCTCTCTTGAAATATCAAGAATTGTTCCTTCCTTGGCAGTCCAGCAATATTAACCCGTCGAGTTCAGGCTTCGAACCCCTTCGTGGTTACTTTGGAGACCTGCAGAACATATCTTTTCGAAGACTCGTTTATCCAACAGACAGCGAGGCTCGGTAACACATTTTCAAGGAAGGTGTTCCCCGAGGCATATAACCTTCAGAAATTTGAGAAGAACACGAATTCCTACCTCATTTGTCTTGGTTCTCACGATGTTTTCTGAACATCACAGAATATTCCTTCTCGTGGGAACCAGCACATTAGAAAAAAATCGGTTGATTGAATCCCACTGGTATAGGTTGTTGATACCTTCATTGGTACCTAATTGGTATTGGGATATTTCATTCAATCCAATCGAGCCATACAAGTGATCCCAGATATGAAGAACTGTAAAAGTTCCTACTTACGTTCTTGGGTGGTTTCTTGATTAATGTATTCACTTTCAATATAACCATTGCTGTTATTCAATCCAATCTCTCACGACTACTGACTGAATTCCCAGGATCCAGCTTTGTACTGATCAAAGGGGGTTGATGATCAATTTATCGCCATTGAGAGTATTGTGGTATCGCAGGCTACCATCATGTGGAGCAACGACTTCGAGACCAACCCTCAGCTTCAAGTGCTCGTGTGGATACCTCCTGAGGCGAGGAACACTCTTTTTACGATGGTGGTAAAGCAAACATGATTGAGACCAACGGTGGGCTCAAAAACACTTATCACCTTTTTCAATTTGTTACCTATTACTCAACTTTATATTATATTTTCAGTTCTCCAGTGATATGATTATCACAAATAGTCGACACTCTTAACCATCAACTAGTATCCCATAGTATCATGATTTTTACTTATACAGTATAGAGTTGTAGAGGCTTTTCCATATCAATCGATTATCATGCAATGCACAATGAAATCGTTCAAAGCGTCGAATCTCGAATACCTCAACATTTTACATCATTTAACAAAACTCCTTTGAACCTTCCTACTAACCCACTCCCTTCAGAAAACATTTATCGAACTATTTGGGAAGTTTAATGAAGCAAAACGCGCTATGCTGTAGCAGTAAATTACGGGCATCTCGTCTTGGGAACACAAACGTTCCAAGGTTAATGTTTTGTTGATTCTCCGATCACAGTAAACTGCACTGTATGAAGATTAGCGTAGTTCGGGGAAGTTTATGGAAAAGGCGAACGAAGATAGATGTTGTTTCAATAGGGTGAAATGAAGATATGTGAAACATTCGAACAATCATTCTGTATATTAACAGGTTGGTGAGAGAGAAAAAATTACACCGATTGCATGTTGCAATGTTGAACTTCGAGAAGTTATCAGCATTATCAATGCAGAAAAAGTCAGGAAAGCTCCTGGTACTGATGGAATTAAAAAAAAAGGATTACATCACTTCTTTATGTGGGATTATCAACGTTATATCAGAGTTATTAAATTTTCCCCAGAGATATAAACATGCCGGAGTTGTGATGCTCAAGAAGCAGGGCCAGGACAACGCTCTGCCGCAGATCTATCGTCCTATCAATCTCCTGTATTCTCCATCAGGAATTTAACGACGACAACCAGCTGATACCAGAAACCGAACAGAAACGTCTCTATTTCTGTTCGGTGTACCAGATGAGCAGTTCGGTTACGGAACTGGTCACTCAACTCAACTTCAAGTCTTGAGACTCAATGAAAATACAATATCGTTGAGAAATGATGGACAAATGACTCATCTTGCTCTCCTTGACATAGCGAAAGCTTTTGACAAGGTATGGCATGCTGGTTTTTTGTACAAAATGATCGACAAAGGCTTCCTCCATGATTTGGTACAACTGATGTGTTCATTCCTGTAAAATCGAACAACTCAAGTGAAACTTGATGATCAACGATCTGGTATCGAGTCCATCGAAGCTGGTGTTCCTCAGGGTGCAGTTTTATCGTAGCTGTTGTACAGTCTATTTACTAAATATTTGCCAAGGCCATTGTGATATAACGCTTCTTGCTGATGATACGTGAGTTCTTGCATATTCAATAAATTTCGAGCAAGCAGCTATGATACTTCAAAGTGCACTAAATCTTCTTGAGAAGTACTTCAAGGAAGTTCAAATTGAATCCTGCAAAAACTCAATTGGTAGTACTCAGAAGGAAGCGAAGACCTTTGATAACCAGAATATCCCTGGATGGTCATGAGAAACAATGGTCTTCACAAGTTGAAGACTTAGGTGTGTGCATTGATAGAAAGCTCAGCTACTGGAGCCTTGCATCAAATTCTATACAGACGCAGTAAATTGGGTTTGACACTGAAATTTGTAACCTATTTATATCTTCGCAATCAGATCCATTTTCTGGTAGTCTGGAGCCTCATTGCTGCTCATATCACCAGATATTGCAAAACAAAATCGCGAGAATGATAATCAATTCGCTAGGGTTATGAAACTCTTGTCGATCGTGTCCGTTATTAGGGAACGAAGACTTCCGAAAGAGCTGAATCAGCTGAGGTTCATGAGAATCAGCTCCTTCGAAATACAGATCATGATCCAGGTGATCAACCGGAGAAGAGAGACTAGAGATTATCAGCAATATGACCAGATCCACTCTTCCCAAGTTTTTGATTTCAGATATATCATATCATAATCATAATGAATTTCTGGGACTCATTTGGGGTAGAAGGGCTGTTTGCAACAAACGTCAATTCCTACCGTTCTCTTTTTTCTGCTGCATGCATCAGATATGAGGATGAAAGGGATCCTCGCCTGGTCTGAGTTGTATGAAAGCAATATAAAATAAATATTACCCAATACTATCTATCATGCCTTCAAAGGGTGACATATAAAATGGGCATTCATCAACAATGTAGATTTGGAAAAAATATTTTTGATGTATTTGTATCAAATCAGAATTCCTATAGGATCCTATGGTATCGTCAAACAACCTGATGGACGTTGGTTTGTTAGTCATGGTTTACTATCGATGGATACCATAGAGATTGGAGGAATCGAACCGAAGTCACACGTACCAGACAAGCCCAGTTAGCATATTCTCCCATTGTCAACCTAGAGATATATCGAACACCTCTTCACCAAAACTCTTTCATCTATACAATGGCAAAGTTTCGAATTCCTTACCAGGGAAAGTATTTTCAAGAGCTCAAAACCTCTAAAAGTTGAGAACAAATATCGATACCCACTCTCTCTCCCTATTCTCTTCAGGTACGCACTTTTCCTCGAACATGATAGGGATTTCCGTCCGTGCAATTCAAGAGATAGAATGAAAGAGATAGAATGGAGGGTACAAAAAAATATGCATTTGACTCATAGGAACAACATGAAGGTGGATATCGAAGTGCCCCAAGTCGACAGGATGATACATTTTTCATATAATGCTTAACTAGCTGTCCGGACGGCTTAGCACGGGGTGTACCCTTTAAAAAAAATTTATTGCAGTTGCTCTGAGCTATGCACGTATCTACAGTACATGTTTTTTGTGATTTCTTCAATTTTCTTTATTACTCATAGCTAGTATTATTCACTTACACATATTGTCATTCTCTGAGTATCTTTTGATTTTTTTTTATTTTACGTAATAAAAATGTCAACCCAATCGGTTAAGCCGTTCAGTAGTTGACGTACCCACAGCAATGCCTTCTGTCGCTTCCAATTCCATTTTCGAATTATCTAGGAAATTATCGAAATACACATATGAAATTTCCACCCAATTGGTTCAGCCGTTTGAGAAGTTATATGTGAGAAAGATAAGTACGTAAGGATAATTCTCACTACCCGTTGTTTTATCACCCATTTCCCCGTAGAAACGAAGCATTATCTTGCGGTACAAAAGTAGCCCATGTTCATCAAAGATAATGTCGGCTTCTGCTGGTGAGAGAATTTTCCAAATCAGTTCAGTTGTTTCGGAGCCTATTCAATACAAACAAACAATATCATACTTCTCTTTATTATATTAGTATAGATTTAGCTACATGACAATTTTAGTGATTCTTGGAGTTCCAGTTACCAATGTATAACTGGTATCTTAAATTTTGTTTATATTCATGTACTAGTTACCTGAGCATTATTTAGGAAAGTTGAGTTGTTTTTCGCTAGTCATATAACTTCTTGTTCAACCTGATTTATCAGCTATTATTGCTTATACAATATAAAAACTTCTATATGTAAGCATGTGATTTTATCCCAGTATTATGTGTGTAGGCGTTGGCAAAATTTCCAGTTAACAAGCAGAACCAACTATTCCTCTTATTCTCTTTTGACAGTAATATTCGTAACATTCCTCGTGAACCAACTATTTTCAAGCTCGTCTCTCTCTATCCTGCTGCATGACGCGAAAATGTGCAATTCATACCACTTTGATCCCGGCTCCAGGTTCAAGCATTTCATGCAAGTTAATTTGAGCGTACGGCACCTTATCAATAAATTCCCTTGACATGTACCTAATGAAGGCATTCCTGTCAGTCCGTATTATGTTCTGGCTCAACATATCACGTGGAGTGTGAAATTAACTGAGGATCAGAAAATTACAAGAAATTTCATGTGCGCGAAATTGCCTGATATCGATTATGGTTATTAACTGAATTCGCTTGTTGATATTTATTTTACGGCTCTAGATAGATGAATAGACGTCGAGTAGTATAGGTACATAATACACAAAGCACGAACAACATGAGTCAGCTTTCATTGATGAAGTATATAGTGAAATGATGATATGGAGACATTATAATAGAGTAGAATACACTAGCCGAATTTAAATAGGTTACCTATTTTATATTGAACTTCCTGTCATGTAGTAAGTGATGCTATGATTCGTGATCAAAAATCAACACATATAGTTTTTCCAATCAACTTCCTGTCATGTAATAAGTGATGCTATGATTCGTGATCAAAAATCAACACAAATAGTTTTTCCAATCATAAAAATATTCATCTCTTGATGAAGGTACACACCGATATAGCAAGTCGTCAATTCCAACGTAAGGGCGATGAAATAAGAAGAAAAACTAGGAAATTCACTCCACAAATCTCCCTAAATTTCAATGCAAACAGAACACGAACATGTCTCTTCTCTAGATAAGCCGATCTCACTGTGCCATGAGCTTGTCAGGAGTAACCATACCTTTGCAGACATCCATTTCGATGCTTGGTATCACTATCAGCAATAATCTTTCTTGGGCAAATCACGTGAGATCAATTGCTGAAAGTGCATCCCTAAAGCTTGATTTTCTGTTTCGGGCCAGGAGCTATTTCATTGCAAGTCAGCTGCTTATATTTGGAGTGCAGCACCCAAACATACCCTGAAACTGTTGGATTCTGTCCAAAAAAGGGCAATTCGTCTCGTATGTGATGCCTCGCTCTCAAACTCACTCACTGCTCTGGAACACCGTTAAAAAGTTGGTGATCTGGCTCTTTCCAAAATTATTTATCCAGAACTACAAAACATATATCCATTGGGAGTAATTCTATTCGCAGAAATATATCTCCTCACAACGAGAAATCTTCTTTATGTGTGTAGGACCAAATCTATAAAGAGCCATATTTACAATCAGACGTAAGCGCTATCGGAAAATAATGCACAATCACCGGAATGAGGAGACCACAGCAATTTCCTTAAATTTACGAACCAAATCGACCGAGAACAAGATGAAGAATATAGGTAATAATTGTTCAGTTGTTAATAATTGATAATTCATCTTTCCAAGTTAAAAAACATTGTTAACGAAAATGCTAAGTAGTTTTTTTCTTCGGAAATACATTCGTTCCTTCCCAACTTTCATGGTTCGTGAAATTGTCTCATCAAATGAAAAATTCTGTCAGGAATCTTGAACTCGATCTGCTTGTTTCAAGGTAACAGCATACAATGGGGGCTAACATAATTTATTAGTGCATAACTATATATGGGTGAAAACACGGGACTCATTCCAAATTTCATTTCGATCCCTATATTTTGTTATTACCAAGTGCCATTCGATAGTATACGTCGAACTTTCTCAGAGTTTGAATTATTTGTATTTATCCCAATGTCACCTAGCTTGTACAGTGTTCATGTAGTGTACTGAATTTCAATGATTCAGTGCGAGAGGTTTCGGAAATATTGATAAAAACCCGTCTTCAGGGTGCCGATTTTACCCTTAACCTATATAGCATGATACGATCCTGATGGATAATTTGAAATTCTGAGCTGAAATTCTAATCCTGCATTGAATGTATATATGCCATGTATCAAATCTAATGATTCTTGGATGAACGATTTTGAAAATATTCCGGAAGACCCTTGTCTTTAGGGTGTATTATTTGAAGGGATATAGCTAGGAAGTATTTTAGGAGAAATATTCATGAAATCTTTTTTCTATGAAAATTTCACAACAAACATTTTCGATCGATTCGAAGCCTGTTTTTCGTATCGTTCCCATAGCAACTAGACGAATTTCTTGGAATTTTTTTCCTCGTCCTTGGGGGACGGAGCATGGAATTACACTGGAAATTGCTTGACGTTTATAGATTAAATGACATTTACATTCAACTTCAGATTATTTAGAGTTCATCTCATAAGTCAATGAATGAAAATCATTTACAAAAACACGTGTTATTACTATACGTTAGTTCTTACATTTCATCACAAACAACCATCAACATGTAATTTTTCTTACCGAATACGACTTCATCTTTAATTGAAATCCGGGAATTTTTTCTCGAACACGAATATTCAAAAAATTCTCCCGAGTCCGGAAATAATTGAAGCTCTCGAGATATTATAAGTGAAAATTACACACCAGTTGAATTGGGTTTTCATAACAAATTACCATAGCAACGTATTTTTTATAGTGAAATCGGAATTTTTCTTTCACGTTTTAATGACAAAATAATATTTTGACGTCCTAAAATAGTGATTTTGTGCCACTTCAATTGGGTCGAGATCAAAAATTTACATGCTAAGAATCCATTGATGCCCTAACTGCATCTTTTATATAGAATGTCATACCACTACCTGGGCCAGTGAGAGGCGTTATGGAAGGCTGAAATTCGAAATGTCAGGTACTGATACGCTTCAACAGGAAGATCAAATTACTGAGCTGGACGGACATATTGACCTTCATCAGAAATCCACGAATGTTCGAAAAGGAGGCCTACTTGCTAGGCGACCCCCACCCCTTTCTCTACTACTACTAGTATGTGCAGTCGTATTAAAAAATAGCGTATATTGGAGGGAGAAATTAACGTCATTCTATTTGCCAAAAACGGGCTATCAGGAATGAATGTTCACCAAATGTTGACAGTAGAATAATTATAGGTTCTTAAAACACATATAGCATTGGCTGAGCCAAGTTTACACAACAATAAGGACTAGGATGCCAAAATCTACTATGTTTAATACTTGTACGCATTTTTTTAGTACGACTGTACCTATACCTATGACAAATTAATTGACGGAATCATAATTTCTCATCACTTGTAGAATCCCGGAGTTGATATGGAATGAAAGAATATAATATGTTACATTTTAAACTAGTATTTTCATGCAAACTCAATAGGTAGAAATCAGGAATCTATTATTGGTGTCGAAACTGCGACCCAAACTGAATTTATTCATGAACCTGTATGCAAATCAAATAAACAAATGAATTCTGAAATTATTTAATTTCCAAACACAATCTGGTGTGAAATTTTCTTACCGAATACCAAACGAGGTCGAATCACTTTCCGGGAATATTTTTTCGCTCATGCATATTTCGAGAATAATCTCTCATGTTCGACTCGAAATAATTTTCAAAATATCCATGAGCTCGAAAAAATTTCTGGAAATAATTTGACCTTTAGTGGTATTACAAGTGAAAATATCTCAGGAATCACTTGAAAAATCAGTAACCTCTATTCGGGAACCACCTAGTATATTCTCTGGAAAATTACATAAATTATTTCTTCAACGCTTTTTCAGGAATTCCATCTGTATCACACATTTCCGTATATACATATGTGGTGTAAACATGGGTGGAAAAATGAACAACCGGCTCTTTGTATATATATACATATATACAGCCACCACAGTATGCAGTTAAAGTTTCGGTCTCCAAAAATAAAGCACGGCAAAAAATCCCAACTCGCTCGATATGAATAAAATATTCATGTTACGGTGTTGTACGTCCCCTATAAATATAATTTTTCAGAGCAATTTATAACGAGTGTACGAAGCTCACCATCTTATTCCCAGCTCCCACAGCTGATGGTCCACATTTATATAACTTTGGACTGGTACGGTAGGAAACATGACTTGAATTCATAAACACCCATCAGAATGAACCTTTCACAAACTGAAGATGTTTTCTGCAAGATGCACTACGGCCATGAGTCCATTTCGAATTTGCGTTACGTCCTTGTTAAATTTTCGTTTTGTTACATGAAACTTCCAGACAATTTAGATGAATAAGAGTTAATGATGCTCGTTTTTATATAGAAACAGTTGGTAAGTTTGTCATAATCAAAGTAAGGTAGCTGATTCGAATTATCAATTTGATTCATCTAAACCATGCAGTCTTCACAGAACTTTGGTGATCTGAAACTTCACAAAAATGAAATGTGATGAGAGATGTTATGTTGCTTGATTCACATGGTGAACAAAACTTGTTCGCTTTTAGTACGAATTAGATATGATATTCGCTTTTAGTACGAATTAGATATGATATTAAATTTGTTCTGTCTCTTGACTTTGAAATTCGAATAAAAAATGTCTATAAAAAACGACTCTTTTTATTATAATAAACTTCAGTGAGTTCCTACCTTCTAGTAGCACGAATACTGATAGTGCTACAGATAGACTCTAGTTATAAAGGGTGATTCATGAATAGACTCACATAACCGAATGGTGAAAATAGGAAATCTAGATGAGGTGATGTATAACTATGATAAAATATTTTGGCCATCGGTGAATAAGACGAGAATTATGTGAAAATATATCCGGACTCGGAAAATATCAATATTTCATTGATATCTATGAAAAATAGAACTGCTCTTCGATTTGCACGGCTCATTTTGACCGGTTCAATGAAAAATAATAAACAAAAACGTTCGAATGGATTATCAATTCTCACCTGGCTGATCACTCTCATTATTCAACAGGATTTATGTAAATCGATTTCCAGTACAGGGTATCCCAATTTGGGCACTTTTGCGGGGTATCTCCCTTATCAGTAAAGATAGAGCATTGCGATTTTCGCGACAGTGTGCTACTTTTTTATCAAATTAATAATGGCGCAAGCAGAATTGTGATAGCTCTTCCGGTTGTCGAGATACAGGGTGGAATTGAAAAATATCACTTTTCAGGCACCCTCCGTGTCTCAGTTATCTTTGAACTTATCGAAGAAGTTAAAACTTGTTTTCATAGAG